TCCAGATGGTACCTTGATGCTTGCTAGGCATTCAAACATGTTTTCCTTCTCTTCTTTGCTAAGAGTGTAGCTGGCAGGACTTAAGTAATGGCGTCCATCATCTGTCTTCTCTAGATGTAGGTTGTCTCGTTCTTTCAAACACTGCAGGTCCTGTCGTGCTTCAAGTGTGTCCTTAGGCTTCCCATACACACCCATGAAGCCTAGCAGGTTCACACAAAGATTCTTCGTCAGGTGCATCACGTCGATCGCGCTACGGACCTCTAGGACTTGCCAATAGGGTAGCTCCCAAAATATGGACTTCTTCTTCCACATGGGTGCGTGACCGTCGGCGTCGTTCGGAACAGGTTCACTGCCATGTGCCTTTCCAAATACTACTTTCACATCTTTTACCATATTGAGTACATCCTCACCAGTTTGGTTGCTCGGCTTGGTCTGGTGGTTTGCCTTACCTTTAAAATGCTTGCCTTTCTTTCTTAGGGGGTGATTCGCAGGAAGAAATTGACGATGGCCAAGATACACGACCTTTCGACATTTTTTCAAGAATATACCTTTAATGTCATCGAAACAGTGCGTGCATGCATTATATCCCTTGTTTGATTGTCCTAAAAAATTACTTAGAGCAGGCCAATTATTGATTGTTACGAACAACAATGCTCACAGGTCAAAGTGCTCCTGTTTGTGCTCATCCCACACACGTACACCTGGTCTGTTCCACAAAAGTAGAAGTTCTTCAACTAGTGTCCTCAGGTACACATCGATGTCGTTTCTAGATTGCCTTGGGCCTTGGATGAGCACTGGCATCATAATAAACTTACGCTTCATGCATAATCAGGGAGGAAGGTTGTAGATACATAGAGTAATAGGCCAAGTGCTATGACTACTGCTCTGCTCCCCGAAAGGATTTATACCACCCATACTTAAAGCAAACCTTAAGTTTCTTGCGTCATTTGCAAACTCCGGGAATTCTCTATCGATTGCTCTCCACTGGGACCCATCAGCAGGGTGTCTCAACATTTTGTCTACCTTACAGTCTTCTTTGTGCCATTGCAACAACTTTGTATGGTCTTTGTTTCTAAACAGACGTTTCAAGCGTGGTATTATAGGAGCATACCACATAATCTTGGCAGAGATTTTCTTCGTGGGACGTCTGCCCTCAACCTCACCAGAGTCATCTCGCCTGATCTTATACCACGATGCATGACATACCGGACATGCATCTAACTTCTCGTACTCCTCACCACAGTAGAGGATGTAGTCATTAGGACATGCATGTATCTTCTAGATTTCTAATCCCAAAGGGCAGACTATCGGTTTTGCTTCGTACGTAGTAACGGACAATTCGTTATCCTTTGGAAGCATCTTCTTTTGGATTTTCAGTAACTCCCCAAAACCCTTGTCAGATACACCATTCTTTGCCTTCCATTGCAGCAATTCCAGTGTGCTATCCAACTTTTTCTGCCCCGCATCACAAGTTGGGTATAACAATTTCTTGTGATCCTCTAGCATGCGCTCGAACTTGATCTTCTCCTTTTCACTTTCACATTCTCTTTGTGCGTCACGAATGGCCTGACCAAGATCATCAGCGGGTTCATTTTCTACCACTACCTCTTCTTCAGCTTTTCCCATTGCAGTATCATTGAAGGCACCATATTTAGCAATAATGTCATTATCGTCCCATTATTCTTCTTCACCTTCTTCCATTACAACCCCGGTTTCTCCGTGCTTCGTCCAACAAATATAGTTTGACATAAAACCCGACTTCAACAAGTGTGAATGAAGACTCCTTGAGCTAGCATATTCCTTCAAATTCTTACATATGGCACATGGGCAGCCTCGGCCACACGTAAGAAAGAATGCACGCCCTCAATGAACTCTTGGGAGCGGCGATCAGCATTGTACATCCAATGCCGGCTCATCTGCATTACATGACATACATACCATATTAAAACCTAGAACATAATTAGTTAATTATACGACATGCATGCCACCATATAAGGTATTAATTTATGAAAGTCTCATTACAATGTAGACAATCCCAACTACCACTAAAAAAACTAAAGCTAAAATGCACTTCAGCAGCATAAGTATTTCGCGACCAATCCCAACTAAAACAGACAGATCATGCGTTTGTTCAACATCTATGGGCTTCTTCCGCAGGATCACTGCCTCATCAGCCGTCGTAGTCGCCTGTGCAAGAGAGTTTTACACATGTTCAACATACTCTTCCTCCCAGTACCAGCCTGAACATCCAGTGCCATCCCACTAAAATTAAAACAAAAAATTAGAACTTTAATCACAATCATCATGAAAATAAGTATAAATTAACTATAATCATCAAATGCGACAAAATAATTCACATTGCGATCCGGACACCTGTAGAAGATATGGCCCTTGTTGGGACACTCCTTCCTCACCCGGTACTCCATCACAATCTTCTCCTCACACTTGCCGCATGCAATGAGAGGGAGGTCCGGCCTCAGTCGCTTTGGATCCCGATGAGAGGCCGAGGACCCGGAAGCAGTTGCCATCTACTCTCTATACTAATTTTTAATATAATATAAATTTCTCATTTTATAAACAAATAAAATAAAAAAACTCTAAAATTCTCTATATCTCTAAACCATGAAGTGTGCTATGCATGCTAGAAATGAAAGCTGAATACTAGTTTTGAATAACTACTTTAACCTTCCTTCATCCAAATATGCAAACTTGAGCTTAAATGGCTTACAAATAAAAAAATCTACCATAAAAACCACATATATCTAGTCCACAAAATGAGATATGCTACTGATGAAATATGAGAGTATAAAGTTGCTAACCTTTACCGGCGATGAGGAAGAAGAGAGACCGGCGATGAAGCAAGAACACTGAGCTCGAAAGTGGCTCGGGCTCGGGGAGGAAGAAGGGCCATATAGGAGGCGACCTTTAGTCCCGGTTGGAGACAGAAATTGGGACTAAAGGTCTCTTTCTAGTCCCGGACGGATCCTCCAGCCGGGAGAAGACTTTTACTCCCGGTTGGTCCCTCCAACCGGGAGTAAAAGTTAACCTTTAGTCCCGGTTGGTAGCTCCAACCGGGACTAAAGGTCCCCTGCAGCAAAAGGCTGCCGCGGTAGCCGTTGGGCAGGGACCTTTAGTCCTGGTTGAAGCTACAAACCGGGACTAAAGGTCTCTCTAGTCCCGGACGCGAAAAATACCGGGACTAAAGCCAAATTTCGAGGTGGGATCAAAGGTCGTTTCTCTAATAGTGAGCCAGAGCAAGGGAGGGATGAGGCAATTAGAGAGGGCACAGGCACCACGTGGGCATGCTCGGCTGCCGAGCACTCCGGCCAGCCTCGCATATCCGGCCACCGGACCTCGGACCCCGGAGCAGGCCCGGTCACGCTGCTTGACGCAGCCCGCCGGGATGGGAAGGAGGGAGGAAGGAGAGTGATGGGTGAGGAGGAGAGCGAGATTGCCACGCCGCCGCCCTCCTCGCTGCTCGCCAGGCCTCCGGCCGGTAGCTCCGGCGGCGGCGCAGGCGCCGCTAGGGTTGCGGGGATGCGGGTGCGAGGGCTGGGAGAGCCGCCCGAGCCGCCCGTCGGGACGACGCGGGGGCAAGAGTGTTCCTGAACCTGTACTGTGTCTTTTACGCTTCTTGCAAACGTTATGGCTACCTAATTTCTCAACTCAACTTTGAAGGTTCATTTCAACTGCACATACGGTGGCATCACCGTAGCGTCAAGCCGTGAGTCCAACAAACTCCTAGCGAGGAACAGGAGTATCACCCACGGCCCACTTGACATGGCTCATTGGTGAATCTTGCTTCTCAGCGTGTCTGCGAGCCAAGAGAGATCGGCTCGACATTGAAAAGTTGGCTTCCATTCATCAAAGCGCGTGGATAGATATAGGTTCGATAGAGAAGCACGATACATGGACTTGTATTTTCACGGTCTCCTGCATAAGACATACCTAACACTAGTAGTAGCAGATGCCAACAATGGCAGCATATAGCGCTATAGCAGCATGATGATGAAGCTAATCGAACCAGCACGAAATCTTCGGCACACGGCATCAATGCTCGAACTGCATCGCCCAGAAATCCTCCACATGGCTCGATTCATTGTATCGGCTGTAGGATATCTGCAAGAATGTAAACTTAATCGGCCAACCATAGATGCTGAGGATGACTTGAGATATATAAGCCCTACTTAGATGGACTAGTTGGTTAATAGCAGTTGGCTAAAAATTAGTTATATTCTAATTCAATTAGGATCATTAGACAAATAGATAGTATCCATGGGGAAAGACATTTATACCCCTGTACTTTACAGGTGGATAAGAAAAGCTGGGACAATATTTGTCTTTTCAATAGCCTCATGGTGCTATTAGTCCTTATTAGCAGAGTTTGATCAACTAGTTCGTTTCGATGAAATTTGGCTTATGCTGATACTTCTACTGAAATATTGTGAGAGAAAAGTACTGTTGGTTTCTGAAAAGTATTGCTGAAGTAGGGTAGCATGACAGGGCCAATAGTTAGGATTTGACTAGAAATTAGTTTAGTCCACCTGTTTAGATTTTTACGGATTTACGGACTAAATTAGTTAACTAGTTGTTAGTCCCATGGATCCAATCAAGTATGGAGTAGAAAATAAAAAGAATTACACCATGATCCTTTTTTTCAATGGAAACTAAACCATCATATTTAGCATGTTCGTTTGTTGGTTTCAGCCAGCCCAAACCAGTCAGCCAACAGTGTTTTTTCTCAAAAAAACCAGCACCAGTCAGCTCAAACCAGCATCAACACCAACCAGCGAACAGGCCCATTATGGCTCGGTCCTGTTCGTTTCGCTGAAAAATACTGCTGAAAGTGCTGCATAACATGGCTATATCAAACCAAAATAGAGATAAAGCATTAATTACCTCGTAGGATCATGAAGAGCAGCCATGTCACGAGGCCCGTTTGAGGGCCCACGGCCCATCATTGAAAAAAGGAGAATGCTTCGAGTATCCGTTACTGCCAGTCATAGCGTAAGATAGTATGCAAGGATTGAGGACGAGATCGTGTAAGATAACTCACTTGTGATCGGCAGAACGTATGACTGGACGCGCAGGCAGCAACTGTAGCCGACCACGATCACCTCTCTCCGCAACCTCACCAGCCACGGCAGCGCCGCCGCCGCACGCGCGGCGTCCTCGAAGCACCGAGCGCAGTCCGGCCCCGTGCGGTCGGCCGCGCACACGCCATCCTTCAGCGTCGCAGCCGTCGTGCTGGAGTCGGCGTAGAACCATCCAAAGAAGGCGTCCTCGCGGGCCGACGTGGCGTCGGTGTCCGCGTAGCCCAGGATGCACCCCGCGCGCCACACGCCGGCGCGGCGGCTGGCGCCGCAGCCGCTGGTGGCGTCCCTCGCGGCGGCGGACAGGCACGCGCGGCAGGCGGCGGCGGAGGAGGAGGAGCGGTTTGATGCAGCGCCGAAGCAGAGCGCGCGCGCGAAGGCACTGTCGCGGCCCGTCCTGCCCGACCGCGCGGTGACGAAGCCCGCGGGAGCGGCCGCGGCGGCGGAGGGGATGACGCGGAGGATTGAGAGCAAGTTGGCGCGGAAGCCGTCGCTCTCGGCTGCTGGCGCCACCGGCGCCGGGCCGCAGTCCAGCAGCGGCGGAACGCGGCGGAGCGTGCTGATCGGCTCCGGCTTGGAGGCGATCCCGGGTTCTGCCACCACGAGGACGAGGGCGACGACGAGCAGCACGGTCGGACGAGCCATTGGAACGCTGGCTGATCAAGCGAGCGTCACCGAGTGCCACGGTCCTTCTGAGGACCGGACGGATTCAGCAGAAGGAAGACCCGGACAACAGAGAAATAGCAGAACGAAGAACTAAGAACCGAAGAAGCAGAGCGGGGAAGAAGCAGATTCAGAGCTCTGTTGTCGCCTGACCGCGTGGCGTCCGAGCGAGCCAGGCTCAGCCTCAGGAACGCAGGCGGCGGGAGTGGACCCGTGCCTTTTTGACTTCTGGCAACTATTCACACCCGTCTCGGTGGCTCATCGATTTGGCTCTGTTCGGCTGGTCTATAAGCCGTTTGTGCTGATTTGTATAGTTAATTTATGGAAGAGAAAAATATTATATCATGGTTGTTTATAATGGTAGCCGAACAGAGCCCGCATGGCCGCGTGCGTGGTACAGACCGGAACACATGTTTGCTCGGAAGGGCTTCAAACAAGATGGTGAAAATTTTGTTAAATAATGTTTTGTGTGTGATGAACAGATAAAGCATGAAACTGATCGTCCTGCTGGATTACTACAAGGCACTAACCCCTTTCTATATACTCTTAAGCATCCTTTCAGCTCTCAACGATTCGCCGGAGTGATGTTGGCCAACTGACATGGTGTTTGTTTGAGGAATGAGGTAGTCTTGCTTCTTAGTTTTTTCTTGTTTGTTATGGAATGGAAATTAGTTGACCCATCGTCAACTTATTTATCACAAGCTAATAGTATAGGAATGAAGTAAATTTCGTTAATTTGAGAGATGGACTCATGATGCATCAACAATAGGTTGATTCCTCAAACCAAACCCCTACAAAATAATACCTGATGCCTATGACATGGATAGGACTCAGGAGTTTTTTTAATAAGCGATGTCACTTAGGGCATCTCCAATAGCTACTTCTAAGTTAGTATTAGATGCCACGTGGAGAAGAGAGAGGCAAAAACCTTTGAGCTATCGGGAAGAATACTCTTTGCATTTGCTAACAGGATGAGATGTCATTTAAGACCTGACTCTCTATATTAGAGGCGCCCTTTAGCATATAGGACTACGGAGCACCATCATGGAGATGTTATGGAACCATTACAATTCGTTTCAACAGATTTCTTGTGAATAGGAGTAGCCTCAATCACGAAACTATAGGACAGTTTTCATGTTTACCAATTAATATAGACACTAGACATGAAAACTATATTTTTAATGGATAGTAGTTTCTAAAATTTATCTTTCCAACTTAATTTCAGTGCTCCATCAACACTTTGCTTATTCGATACATTAACAAATACCAATTAATACCATGACACCTATCTATTTGGGAGTTTGGGACTGCCCACTTGTACATCCTATGTTTATCGTTCGGCCATTGGAACATGAAAAATCGGTGATTTGGTTTTGATAGCATATCAAGAGTCTTTATTCTTAAAATCACTCTCTAAATCCTTATTTGATAGCCAAATCACTATGTATACATAACTTTCCACATTCAACTAGCTTCTATATATCTTGTGTGCGCTTCAGTGTCATCCCCGTTCTCCATAATTGGTTAGCGAGAAATCAGAAATAGAGAATGATAATATTTGGAGATCTAATTGAAGAAGTTATTGGAGGACTTTTTCTTCACCCAAAAATTCTGTTATATTCCTATCAATACAGGAGGATATAAAAAGACTCTTGAAGTTGTTTTGAATATCTATTTTTCTCCCTGACAGAAACTTAATTTTCCCGGTGGTATGCCAACTTGTCCCATTATCCATTTCATCCAAGGCTGAGAGCTGCTTCCGTAGTATAGCTCCTGCCCTTCCACCTTGGGCACAAGATAAGGTTGTCAGTTTGATATTATTTATTTTTAAACCCTTTATGCCACTTAGGTGCAATTACCAAACAACAAATTATTCTTTTCTGCATAAAAATCACTCTCTCTCTCTCTCTACATATATATCTTTCCACATTCCACTAGCTTCTTTATATCTTGCGTACGCTTCAGTGTCATCCCTGCTCTCTATATTTGACTAGCAAGAAATCAGAAATAGAGAATGACTATATTTAGAGATCTAATTGAAGAAGCTATTGAAAAACTTTTTTTCACCAAAAAAATTCCATTATATTCCTATCAATATGGGAGGATATAAAAATACTCTTGAAGTTGCTTTGAATATCTATTTTTCTTCCTGACAAATACTTGATTTTCCCCGTGGCATGCAACTTGTCCCATTATCCATTTCATCGGAGGCTCAGAGCTGCTTCCGTAGTATAGCTCCTGCCCTTCCACCTTTACAAGCCATTTGTAGTTGAGAGTATACTAGCTTATTAGCCATCGCCCACGTACATATATAGCCCATTCATGCTCTTGTCAATAATTAGCCAATAAGCACACACGTAGCCACGTGCTATACATGGACACTTGTATTGCCACTTAGTCACTATCCTGCACAAGATATATCTAGCCACGTGCTGCCCCGTCGGCCGTTGCTCAAGCGGCTCCCGTTCCCGTATCGCTTCTTCAGCGACAACGACGTCGGCCTCCGCCGCGGCGGCGGCCAAGACGACTTACACCGTCACCGTGTTGGTCGCCACGCTCTCGCCTGACGTGTATGACATCCACCGGTTCCATTCATGGACCGGGACATGGTCGCACGCGAGGGTGTCCGTGGCGGAGCCGCAGACGATGGGGTACCCTTCGTTGGTCCCTAATAACAGACCAGCACGCCTCCTGCGCCATGACACGAGCACCGCGATCGCCATAGGAGGCGAGCATGGCACCATGGGCTGGGTCGATCGTCTCTGGCATGGCGCCATGCTCTGCGACGTGCTCCGTGACAAGCCCTCACACCGGGGCGTCCCTCTGCCGCTGCCACTGGAGCTGGTGACGTGTAACAACCACTAATGTAGAAATGATTTGTGCCTTTTTTTTAATGTGCGGCTCTATATTGAGCCGCACCTACAAATGATTTCTAAACGAGCCGTCTTTATAAATGGTATTATTTGTAGGGCGGCTCTATATCCAGCCGTCTCTATAATTCTATATTGAGCCACCGAATAGTAAAAATTAAGTATTATTTTTATATTTTTTCAAATAACTTCGGATGGAGAAATAACAAAAATAAAAGTTTTAGATCTCGAAAAGTTATAGAACTTTGTTGTTTACAACTTTTCCATTTGAAGCCATTTACTATTTCAAAATGCCGTTAGAAATTTAATTTTTAAATTATTGAATAACTCTAATTTCTCTTTTTAATCTCTGGCTAAAACTTGTAGCTAGTCTTTTTCCCTCATACTAACTTTAGATTTGATGATTTTTTCCTAAAACTTTCTAAAATCATGCTCTATCAATTTATTATGTTCTTACCGCTATTATTTTGGTCATCTTTTCATGTGACTGTATTTTATCAGTTTGAATTTTGAATTTCAAAAAATAGCAACTTCAAATGTCATTTTGAAACATTAAATGATTTCAGCTGAAAAAGTTATGAACATAAAAGTTGTAGAACTCGTCAAGATATACAATTTTTATTTTGGTCACTTCTTCATCGAATATAATGGTAGTAACATTGTTCATAAATTTTACATATCTCTCTTATAATTTCATAAACTATAAGAGGGATATGTAAAATTTGTGAACAATATTACTGTTACTATATCAGATGAACCAATGATCAAAATAAAAGTTGTAGATCTCGAAAAGTTATAGAATTTTGTAGCTGACAACTTTTTCATTTGAATTCATTTTGTCAAGGAAAACTATGTTTGAATTTCTCAAATTTGAATTTTAGATTTTTCAAATGACCTCGGATGGAGAAACAATCAAAATGAAAGTTGTAGATTTCAAAAAGTTATACAACTTTGTAGTTGATAGCTTTTTTATTTGAAATCACCTTGTCAAGGAAAACTATGTTTGAATTTCTAAAAATTTAAAATTTGAATTTTTTAAACAACATCGGATGGATAAATAGCAAAACTAAAGTTGTAGATTTCGAAAAGTTATGCAACTTTGTAGTTGATAACCTTTTGATTTAAAATCATCTTGTCAAGGAAAGCTACGTTTAAATTTCTCAATTTTGAAATGCAAATTTTGTAAACGACCTCGGATGGAGAAATTATCAAAATAAAAGTTATAGATCTCGAAAAGTTATACAACTTTATAGTTTATAACTTTTTTATTTGAATTTATTTAGGGCCTCAAACAATCAATTTAAACTAGGTTTAGGATAATATGAGAAGGCCTAAAATCAAAATAGACACAAGTGAGTGTGAGGTGCAGTGGTAGAGGACGGTACGCGCGAGGCAAAGGTCGCTACTTGCAATTTTCAAGCGGGCAGGTGGCTGACCCGTGGGGGCGTCCCTAGATTAAAAAAAGAATTTTGTTGCTATTTTTTAGGTCCGGATTTGTGAATTTTTGAAAATGAATTTGTAGGAGCGGCTCTATATCCAGCCAAGTTATAGAACTTTGTAGCTGACAACTTTTTCATTTGAATTTATTTTTTGAAGGAAAACTACGTTTGAATTTCTCAAATTTAAAATTTGAATTTTTCAAACGACCTCAATGGAGAAACAACCAAAATCAAAGTTGTAGATCCAAAAAAAGTATACACCTTTGTAGTTGATAGCTTTTGATTTGAAATCACCTTATCAAGAAAAACTACGTCTGAATTTCTAAAAATTTAAGATTTAAATTTTTTAAACGATCTTGGATGGACAAACAACAAAAACGAAAGTTGTAGATCTCGAAAAGTTATGCAAATTTGTAGTTGATAACTTTTTGATTTGAAATCATCTTCTCATGGAAAGCTACGTTTAAATTTCTTAAATTTGAAATGTAAATTTTGTAAACGACTTTGGATGGAGAAATTATTCAAAATAAAACTTGTAGATCTCAAAAAGTTATACAACTTTCTCAAAAAAGTTATACAACTTTATAGTTTACAACTTTTTTATTTGAATTTATTTAGGACCTCAAACAATCAATTTAAACTCGGTTTATGATAACATGAGTTGGCTCAAAATCCATAACAGACACGAGTGAGTGTGAGGTCAGTGGTAAAGGAGGGTGCACGGTAAAGATTGGACACATGACCCACGCATCATCAGTGCAGTAAAGATTGGACACATGTCTTCCCTCAAAAGTTAGCGTCACCGATAGAAGTCTATTACAACACGGGAATGCCATCTCGATTATTTAACATTAGTTTCCTAAGGGATTGCTTTAACATGTATTCACCAGTTTCTTGGACGATGGACATTTGCGGTTGCGGGAGCAAATTTTGCTCCAAGCAAGCCGTCGCCTCATGTGGATGGAAGGGCATATTCGACTCCTCCACTTGCACGAATCATATTCTGGAAATTGGCATTTCTGCTCTGATCATCATCATTCTTGCGCTCCAGCTGCTCGTCAGGGTTACAAAGAGCAGAGCATCTGCACGACAGCAGCTTGTCGCGCTCAGTTCGCCAATGCAGTTGGCTGCTGTAGTGTTCAATGGCTGCTTGGGTCTCATTTATCTTGGGCTTGCATTGTGGATGCTGGGGAGGAACTTCAGTTAGCATGCTTCTGTTCACCTTCCACATTGGTGGATGGCGACCTTGTCTCAGGGATTCTGTTTGATCCTTATCAGTTTCACTTTCAGCATCAGAACACATTTCCTTGGACCAAAATTTCTCCGTGTTTGGTCAGTTCTGCTGATCATATACGCTGGATTCATTTGTTGTTCCTCGGTTGTTCACATGGTTGCAGATAAGGTACTAACCATGAAGGCTTGTTTAGATGTTCTCTTCCTACCAGGTGCACTACTGCTCCTTGTTTATGGCATCTGGCACGTCAGGGAAGATGGTGATGGAGGAACTGAAAGTGCTTTATACAAGCCCTTGAACACTGAGACTGTTGATGATGAAAGGTCTGATTCTCGAGTCATGTGACCCCATTTGCTAAAGCTGGTTTTTTCAGCGTGATGTCATTTTGGTGGCTAAATCCTATGATGAAGATGGGTTATGAGAAGCCCCTTGAGGAGAAAGACATGCCACTTTTAGGTCCCCCAGATCGAGCATACAGCCAGTACTTGATGTTTCTGGAGAAGCTGAACAGGAAGAAGCAGTTGCAGGCTCATGGGAATCCGTCAATCTTTTGGACTATCATTTCTTGTCAAAAAAGTGCAATCTTGGTCTCAGGTCTCTTTGCATTGCTCAAGGTTCTCACATTATCTTCAGGTCCGTTGCTTTTGAAAGCATTCATCAATGTTTCACTTGGGAAAGGGTCCTTTAAATATGAAGGTTATGTGTTAGCTGTAACAATGTTCATTTGTAAATGTGGTGAATCTTTGTCACAGAAGCAGTGGTATTTCCGCACTCGGAGGGTAGGACTCCAGGTGCGGTCATTCCTATCAGCTTCCATCTGTAAGAAACAACAGAAGCTATCAAACTCAGCAAAATTGAAGCATTCTTCTGGTGAGATCATGAACTATGTCACTGTCGACGCCTACCGGATTGGTGAATTCCCATACTGGTTCCATCAGACGTGGACAACAGGTGTCCAACTTTGCATCGCTCTAGTGATTTTGTATAATGCAGTTGGTCTTGCTACAATTGCATCACTGGGTGTCATAATTGTCATTGTAGCTTGCAATGCTCCACTGGCCAAGCTGCAACACAAATTTCAGAGTAAACTTATGGGAGCACAAGATGTGAGACTGAAGGCGATGTCAGAGTCCTTAATTCATATGAAGGTCTTGAAACTTTATGCATGGGAGACTCATTTCAAGAAGGTCATTGAGGGGTTAAGGGAGATTGAAATCAAATGGTTGTCAGCATTCCAGCTTAGGAAAGCATACAACAGTTTCCTGTTTTGGACATCACCTATTTTGGTTTCGGCTGCAACCTTCCTGGCATGCTATCTTTTGAAAATTCCTCTTGATGCTAGCAACGTCTTCACATTTGTGGCCACTCTGCGCCTTGTTGAAGATCCAATTAGGCAGATACCAGATGTGATTGGAGTTGTGATACAAGCTAAAGTTGCTTTCACCAGGATAACAAAGTTTCTTGATGCGAATGGACAAGTTCGGAATAAATATTGTGTGGGGGATGAATATCCAATAATGATGAACTCTTGCAGTTTCTCATGGGATGAGAACCCGTCAAAACCAACTCTAAATAATATAAATTTGGTAGTCAAAGCTGGACAGAAGGTTGCAATATGTGGCGAGGTAGGATCAGGAAAGTCAACACTGTTGGCTGCAGTTCTTGGAGAGGTTCCGAAAACTGAAGGCACGGTATGCATTTCTTAAACTTCACATTATGGAATATAAAATCATATAGGTGTAAATTTTATGATATATTTCGTTTCCTCCTAGATAATGATACCTGTATATAGTATTTTTAATTGGGAAAATATTGTAACCTTCATAAACTTAATCTCAATTGCAGTTACATAATTGACATATAGTTAAGTAGTATAATATGGCTATGTGCACTTCAGAACCTTGGTTTCTAACTTCTTTCTCAAAATATAGCCTGCGACAACAGTATCTTATGATTGGCAAAGTCGTCATAGTTATTTTACTTGATGATATTGCTAAATTAAGAAAAATTAAGCATATTAATTGTTTTCTCTGAATTAAAATTTTCAGATCCAAGTTTGCGGGAAAATAGCATATGTTTCTCAGAATGCATGGATCCAAACAGGAACTGTGCAAGACAATATTCTCTTTGGGTCTTCGATGGACAGGCAAAGATACCAAGAAACACTTGAGAGGTGAAATGTTGCCATATGGAGACCGTACTCAAATCGGGGAGAGGGGTGTAAATCTTAGTGGTGGTCAGAAGCAGCGTGTTCAGATTGCTCGTGCATTATACCAAAATGCAGACCCTTTCAGCGCTGTAGATGCCCACACAGCAACAAGTCTCTTTAATGTAAGCGTCAAACTACAGTTTTGAATTGCAATATTTATCATAGATTGTTTTAAAAACTTTATTTGTTTGACAGGAATATGTCATGGGAGCTCTATCAGACAAGACTGTTCTTTTGGCGACCCACCAAGTAGATTTTCTGCCTGTATTTGATTCTATTCTGGTATGCTTTCCTATGTTATCCAAATCTCTCTTTATGCTTTCACACCTAAGATGATTTTAGTGTTTCAACTTTCTTGCTGATGATCGAACACTATTCTGTTACAGATCATATTGTTAGGAAATTAAAATGTCATTCATTAAGCATCATAAGTTGCTAATTTCAGAACCGAAGAAACACTTAAGGAAAAAAAATCTATGCAAAGATATTAGTCCCTCCATGTTTATATGTATTTTAGTTATCGTATTTTTTTGTTGTTGATGTCGTTTCAAACAAGTGGTTTTTTTGGCAGTTAATGTCAGATGGCGAAATTATTCGTTCTGCATCTTATCATGATCTATTGGCATATTGTCAAGAATTTCAGAACCTTGTAAATGCCCATAAAGACACTATTGGTGTTTCAGATTTAAACAGAGTGCCCCCCCATAGAGCAAATGAAATATCGATCAAGGAGACAATTGATATTCGTGGAAGCAGATACAGAGAGTCTGTGAAGCCGTCACCAACAGATCAACTCATCAAGACAGAAGAAAGAGAAATGGGTGATACTGGTTTCAAGCCTTATATTCTCTACCTGCGTCAGAATAAAGGCTTCTTCTATGCCTCTCTGGGTATTATTTGCCATATAGTTTTTGTATGTGGCCAAATATCACAGAATTCATGGATGGCTGCTAATGTCGAGAATCCTGATGTTAGTACACTTAAGTTGACTTCTGTGTACATTGCAATTGGAATCTTCACGGTGTTCTTCTTGCTATTTAGATCATTAGCAGTTGTTGTTCTTGGGGTCAAGACATCAAGATCCTTATTTTCTCAGTTACTCAACTCATTATTCCGTGCACCAATGTCCTTTTATGATTCTACCCCTCTCGGAAGGGTACTTAGCCGGGTAAGGATTCTTAAAACAAATTGTTAATCTCCCTGAGATATATTGGGTAGTGGGGGTGGTTGTCACTTGTCACCCAACCTATCAGGGTTCAACTTGCACCTGCTACATATTAATTGTACTATGGATGTATCTCCCAGCAATAAAAAAACAACCTTCTTTAAACTAACTAGAAAGAAAAAATATGATAAACCAAAATTCTATTTTATACTTGGAGATTTTCTATTGATGAACTTGCAAATCTTTTATGCAGGTTTCTTCAGATCTGAGTATTGTTGACCTTGATATTCCATTTGCCTTCATGTTTAGTGCTAGTGCCGGCATAAATGCATATAGCAATCTAGGAGTATTGGCTGTTGTTACATGGCAAGTTCTGTTCGTTTCTGTGCCAATGATTGTTTTAGCAATCAGGTTGCAGGTAATTTTGTGCGGTTCTATTGGCTACAGTTTCACTATTATATCATGTACCAATTAATGTCTTACGTTCATAATTACCATTGGCTGACTGAAATGTTAAATCTCATATGCTTGGTCATGCAGAGGTATTATTTAGCCTCATCTAAGGAATTGATGAGGATCAATGGCACTACCAAATCTGCTCTGGCTAATCACTTGGGTGAGTCGATTGCAGGGGCTATAACAATAAGGGCTTTTCAGGAAGAAGATCGTTTCTTTGAGAAAAATTTGGAACTTGTTGACAAGAATGCTGGTCCATATTTCTATAATTTTGCAGCGACTGAATGGCTGATTCAACGTTTGGAGACCATGAGTACTGCAGTTCTTTCTTTTTCTGCCCTTGTCATGGCTCTTCTTCCTCAAGGAACTTTTAGCCCTGGTGAGCAATTACATAAGTTGCATTTGGCAAGTATCACCAGTTCACCACATCTATATAGACAATGGCCAGGAAGCTGACCTAGCTCAGTTGGTCGAGGGTGTGAATGTAAAATGGCACCTCGTTGAGGCGAATTCGGGTGTCTATTTTCTTAATAAAATGGCACCGAGTTCCTCCTAGGTTGGTCTAGTTTTTACGTAGACAATGGCCAAAGCTTTTTAATAAAGTGAGCAAGTTCTGTGACAGTTCAATACATCTTGCATTTGATCTGCAATAAATCGTTCAATTTACTGCAAGGAAAACTTTGCAATGTATTCATAGCTTCCTGAAGTCAAGCCATAAAATGTTAAGGTCTTTCTGTCTATGCTCGATAATGTTGAATCACAAGTAAATGACAGGTAGGATATTTGGTGAATAATGCATAGCATTTCTTTACCGCTCTTGATTTTGTACAAACATTGCTGACATGTGAGCCCAAAGATTGAAAAATGGAAACACTCAGATTAGTTGTAACTTAAAACCAAAATTACACGCATTCGGTATTGTTCATGCTATGAACATTTCAGTTTGTCATCAGAAACACTAATTGCTCCAATTTATACATGTGCAGGGTTTGTGGGAATGGCATTATCTTATGGCCTATCCCTGAATATGTCCTTTGTTTTCTCTATCCAAAACCAGTGCCAGCTAGCAAGTCAAATCATCTCTGGAAAGGGTGAACCAGTACATGGACATACCAAGTGAAGCAGCAGAGATAATTGAAGAAAATCGACCAGCACCAGACTGGCCCCAAGTTGGCAGGGTAGACCTTAGAGTTTTGAAGGTAATCAATGGTAAACAATTTACATGTTTACCTATTACAGTGAAACCTTTTTGTGTTCTAGATTCTACCAAATGAACATGAATGATTTTCATTCAACAGATTAGATACAGGCAAGATGCTCCTCTTGTACTACATGGAATCACCTGCACTTTCAACGGTGGAGATAAGATCGGTATAGTTGGCCGAACAGGAAGTGGAAAGACAACTTTAATTGGTGCATTGTTTCGTCTGGTTGAGCCAACTGGAGGGAAAATAATTATAGACTCCTTAGACATCACCACAATAGGCTTACAGGACCTGCGTTCACGTTTGGGTATCATTCCGCAAGATCCGACACTCTTTCAAGGAACCATAAGATATAATCTAGACCCTCTTGGGCAATTCTCGGATCAACAAATATGGGAGGTAAGTATCTTGTAATAAACATGGCTATTCATGTTGTCTCTAGCCCTATTCATTGTTTAGATTTAGTCAGGTACCTTTTGTAATCTAATGGTCATGGCTTTGCTATAGTTAGTATATAAGAAGGAAAAGAAAACAGAGTTTCAGTGTTCATACTAGTTTACCATGGAAAAAGTGCTAATGTGAAAGAACTTCTTGTTAAGTTGAAATAATGAAGCCCCTTCCTCTGATTGGGAATATTCAACGCAGTAAATGTAATATAGTGCATGCCCAGTAACTTTAGAAATTTTAGAACATATTTTGTTCGAGAAAAAAAAATTAGAACATACTTTGAATGACCTGATGAGTAAACTGAACCATAGGAATATAGGTAACAACTTCTCTCTGTCCTTTGTTTTATGCCAACTCCGGGAGAATTATCTCCCTTTTTGATGGCGTATATACCTATGATTCAGTTTCTCGCTACTCTAATGTAGGTTCTTGGCAAATGTCAGCTTCTTGAAGCTGTCCGGGAGAAGGAACAGGGATTGGACTCACTTGGTAGGATTTCTTGCTACATCTATATATTGTTTCCTATAAAGCTTAACAAATTAAGGAATTTTGGATGGACCATTGTCAAACCCCCCAAAAAATATATTGACACTAAATATGCCAAACTATCTAAAGTTCAGACTAGGGGTGACAATACATGCAATGGAGTACTTGCTCAGAAAAAAAAAAAAATGGAGTACTATTTATGATATGCTTTGAAACTCCTATTTTTTTTCCTTCCCTTTACATTGCACTGCCATAATCTACACCACTTGTTTTGGAAAAAAAGAACTGAGTCAAATGCCCTTGTCAATGAGGTCAAAGTAAAATAAATAGCTTCTGTTTTTAAAGGGAAAATCATATATTTGACTTCCACAAGAAATATGGGATTTTCATTCATAGAATCATAGACACAAATATGAGTAATATTCTTTAGATAGCATGATATATGCGATTGTCTAATTCTCTGACTGAGACGGCAATCTCCATGCTCTGGGTCAACCCCTCTTGAACGTTGGCAATTCAAGATCCGTAGACTCCGACAATATCTAAGGGGCTGGGCCAAACACACGGCAGGGTCATATCGAAAAGAAAAAAAGACTCTGTTAGCTCTTTTAGACAATCTTGATAAGAAAGCTAAGATCTCTCCCTTATCTGATCAAGAGATTAATCTGAAACATTATCTAAAAGAACGTTTAGTTAACCTTCTGAGAGAAGAGGAACTAAAATGGTACGAGAGAGCCAAAGTTAAAACCCTCTTGGAAAGGGACGCTAATACTCGGTTCTTTCATCTAGTCACCAATGGGAAACATCGCAAGCAACATATCTATAAACTTGAAAATGATCAATGTGTTGTGATCGGTGATGATCATCTCAAAAGTCACATTATGACTTATTATAAAGAACTCTTTGACCAGCCGGATAATTTCGATATCTCCCTTAGAGAAGACCAAAACCTGGATATCCCACGGGTATCACCGGAGGAAAACAACATCCTCATTAGCCCGTTCACTGAATCTAAAGTGAGGGAGGCAGTCTTCCAAATGGAGCATAATAAAGCTCCAGGGCCGGATGGTTTTCCTGCAGAATTTTATCAGGTGTTCTGGGGAGTCATCAAGGATGATCTTCTACCCTTATTTGCTGAACTGCATAGGGAGGCTCTTGATCTCTATAGTATGAATTTTGGTATTATTATCTTAATCCCAAAAGTGAATAATGCCATAAAAATTCAGTATTACAGGCCAATTTGTGTTCTTAATATGAGTTTTAAAATATTCACTAAAGTAGCCACAAATAGGCTTAATATGGTAGCTAAAACGGTGGTGAGGCCAACGCAGACTGCCTTTATGCCAGGAAGGAACATAATGGAAGGGGTCGTTATCTTACACGAAACCATCCATGAACTTCACACCAAAAAGAGAGACGGTGTCATTTTCAAAATTGATTTTGAAAAGGCATACGACAAAGTGAAGTGGTCTTTCCTACAACAAACGCTACGAATGAAAGGTTTCTCCCCCAAATGGTGTCGATGGGTTGAAACTATGGTCACCGGAGGAAGTGTGGGAATCAAAGTCAATGAGGACGTTGGACCCTATTTCCAGACCAAACGTGGACTCAGACAAGGAGATCCATTGTCACCAATCTTATTCAACATCGTTGCTGATATGCTAGCTCTTCTGATTAACAGAGCAAAAGCCGATGGTCAGATAAGATGTGTCGTCCCCCACCTTATAGATGATGGTTTGTCCATACTACAATATGCAGATGACACAATTATCTTTATTGATCACGACCCAGAACAAGCACAGAATCTGAAACTGTTGCTTTGCGCTTTTGAACAGACTATCCGGGTGAAGATCAACTTCCACAAGAGCGAAGTCTTCGCTATGGTCTTTGCTAAAGAGATGGAATCCTTTTATACTAGTCTCTTTGGATGCAACGCAGGGAATACCCCTTCGAGATATCTAGGGATCCCAATGCACCATAGACAACTCCCGAACTCGATCGGAGAAAGGTGGAAGATCGTTTCAAGCGAAACTCTCTTGTTGGAAAGCAAAATACATCATATATGGGGTAGACTAGTTACGCTTAATTGGGTCTTAAGCGACCTACCTATGTTTATGATGTCCTTCTTTGAGATCCCTAAGGAGGTCATTAAAAACCTAGATCATTATAGATTCAAGGTTCTTACGGCAAGGCTCCTCGAGATAAACATAGATATCGCCTTGCCAGATGGGACATCCTTTGTCGTCCAAAGGACCAAGGAGGATTAGGTATCCTAAATTTACAATTGCAAAATAAATGCCTTCTAACCAAATGGTGGTTAATCTTCTAAACACGAAGGCATATGGCAATCTCTTTTACGAAATAAATACCTAACCTCCAAGAGCCTAACTGTGTGGCGACCAAACCCAATGACTCATTTTTGAGAGGCCTCATGCATATCAAAGATGAGGTCTTTGGCTAATGGTTCATTAGATATTAAAGATGGAACCAACACTAGGTTTTGGGATGACACATGGGTAGGAGATAAGCCTCTGAAAGTTAAATATCCATCTTTATATAATATAGTGCGGGAACCTCATGCAACAGTCTCAAAAGTGATGACTACTAGCCCACTAAACATCTCTTTTAGAAGGGCTCTGGTGGATAATAAACTTACAGAATGGCTTAGTTTAGTAGCACGGATCTCAAATGTCGCATTGGTGGAAGGTTCGGATTATTTCAGATGGAGTTTAACCAAATCAGGTTTGTTCTCTGTCCGCTCAATGTATCTCTATCTTATAGATACACAAACACCTTTTCGTCATAGGAAGATCTGGAAGATAAAAATTCCTCTAAAAATTAAAATCTTTCTTTGGTTCTTGCAAAGGGGTGTCGTCTTAACCAAAGACAACCTCGCTAAGAAAAATTGAAAGGGGAGTCAAAAGTGCATCTGCTGTAATGGGAATGAAACTATCCAACATTTGTTCCTAGACTGTCCCCTTACCAAAATGATTTGGAGGATTATCTTTTTTGCTACTAGTTTGACCCAACCTAGATCAATCAGCCACATGTTTGGTAGTTGGCTGACCAATCAAAATAAAAGGATTAGAAATTTGATTTGGGTGGGGGTGGCTGCCATGTTTTGGGCTATCTGGAGATGCCGTAATGATGTTGTTTTTAATCAATTGAAATCTAACTCTATTATTATGCAGGTAATTTTCAGATGAGCGTACTGGTTACGCTCTTGGGCCCAGCTGCAGCGTGATGAGACAGCCAAGGACGCGCTCTCAACGATGAGCAAGAAATTGGAAATTATTGCTTTAGAGATATCCAATAAAGGATGGAAATATTTATATTGTTTGAACTAGCGTCCTGATCAATCTATAAGACTATAGCTTTTTTATTTTTTTTTCATCCAAAACTTTATAATAATAGACTGTGTACATCCTTGAATGTAGAGGCCGGATATTTGTTTTATCCATTATCTAAAAAAAGTTGTGGAAGATGGTTCGAACTGGAGCATGGGTCAAAGGCAGCTCTTCTGTTTGGGACGTGCACTTCTAAGAAGATGTCGTATCTTAGTTCTTGATGAGGCCACAGCATCTATAGACAATGCCACTGATGCTATCCTTCAGAAAACAATCAGGACAGAGTTTAGAGATTGCACTGTTATCACTGTCGCGCACCGTATACCCACTGTTATGGACTGCGATATGGTACTCGCCATGAGTGACGGTATGTTTTCTTCTTGAACTTGCTAGAGATACAGCAGTACTCATTAGTTACAGATTAATGAATCAGGACAACTAGATCTGGAATCTGGGGATATATTATACCTAAAGCAATATAATGTTTTTTTTGAAAGACTTAAAACGATATATTGTTGATACGAGAGAACACTTTTTCTTATATATACTTTTTTACTACTACCTTTTCGCGGTGATTTATGCATGCCAACTTTGCCAACTTGTGCCAGACCTCAACAATAAAGCAGAAGGGTGGGCCTGGTGCAAGCGGTAGAGTCTTACCGCTCTGTGACCGGAAGGTCTCGGGTTTGAGTCGCAGTCTCTTCGCATTGCACAGGCAAGGATAAGGCTTGCCACTGATATCCTTTCCCAGACCCCACACAGAGCGGGAGCTCTCTGCACTGGGTACGTTCTTTTTTTTTTTAATTGTGAAAGTCGGTCTCCAGATAGTATTGCAGCATTTACATGCAAAGTTCATGCTAATCTGATGTCCATACTTCCAGGGAAAGTAGTGGAGTATGACAAACCTACGAAGCTCATCGAAACCGAAGGATCTCTTTTCCGTGAGCTCGTCAAAGAGTACTGGTCATACACATCGAATGGAAATATTTAGGAGAAATTGTGACAGTGTACACGTTCACTCGCTGCAGTCTCGTAAAAAAGATACAAAGACCTGTGCTCACACATGCAAAGAACTCTTCTGAAGCATATGAAGAAAAGGGATCAGGCATTGTCGGGAAGGCTTTTGTTAATAGACCTAGTATAGTAGTTTTCAAGTGACATTTTGAACAACTTTCGGGCAGCTCT